ATGAGATCAAGAAAGCATACCGCAAGGCCGCGCTGAAGTGGCACCCCGACAAGAACAAGGACAACCCGCAAGCTGCTGAGAAGTTCAAAGGTATGTGTATTGCCTCACTAGCTCATATAGACTGGATATAGGATGCTAACAGCACGTCTAGAATGCTCACAAGCCTACGAGATCCTCTCCGACCCCGAGAAGCGCAAAACGTACGACCAATACGGGCTCGAATTTATACTACGCGGCGGCGTACCACATCCTGAAGATGCTGGAGGTGCGGGCGGTAACCCATTTGCGGGTGCAGGAGGCGGTGGAGGCTTCCCCTTCGCATCGTCGGGTGGCATGCCTGGCGGCACACGCTCGTTCCACTTCTCGACGGGCGGCGGCGGGAACGGCTTCAACTTCTCCAACGCCGACGATATCTTTGGCGAGTTCATGCGCAACAGCGGCGCCGGCGGTGATGACTTTGACTTTGGCGGCTTTGGCATGGGCGGTATGCCTGGCGGAATGGGTGGTGGTATGGGCGGTGGCGGCGGTGGAGGTGGAAAAGGCGGCCGATTCCGCGGCGGACGACGAGCACCAGAGCCTGAAGTCACAGTCGTGGAGAAGCCGCTTGCGGTGAGCTTGGAGGAGCTGTACAACGGCACCACGAAGAAGCTCAAGATCAAGCGCAAGACATACGACCAGAGTACCGGCAAGCAAAGTACGCAAGACCGGATTCTGGAGGTACCCATCAAGAAGGGGCTGAAGGCTGGCAGCAAGATCAAGTTCTCAGACGTCGGCGACCAGGTGGAGGGTGGAACACAAGATCTGCACTTCATCGTTTCTGAGGTAAGTCTTTCCATTCCCAATTTATGAAAGAAACGATACTAACGACACCACAGAAACCCCACGCAATGTTCACCCGCGAAGGCGACGACGTCAAGCACACGATCGAAATCGACCTCAAAGAAGCCCTTACCGGCTGGCGCCGAACCGTCCAAACTATCGACGGCAAACAACTCAGCGTCGGCAGCGGCGGTCCCACCGGTCCCACCTGGACAGAACGATACCCCAACCTCGGCATGCCCAAGTCCAAGAAACCCTCAGATCGCGGCGACTTCATCGTCGGCGTAAAGATCAAGTTCCCTACCAGCTTGACAAGCGCACAGAAGGAGAAGCTGAAGGAGATACTATAGTTGGACTGAGGGAGGCAAAATACCTGCTCCTGCGCATGCAAAAAATGTGTGTGGTAGGGTATGGGTGTCGGACGGAACTTTGATTCTCGTATATCATTTGCATTTCTTTATCTTATTTTACGCCTATATATGCTCGACATGAGCCACACGAAGGCGTCGGTGGAGTTCTGATATTTTTATTGTTCGTTTGGAAGGGAGGAGGAAATGGAAGGCCAGCGTGGTGGAATGCTGGTAAAGATGATTGGGGATGACACATATGAAGTAACGCGTCTATGATAGACGAATCAATGAATTAGTATACTGTGCGAGAAGCTGTTTGCCCTTGTGTGATAGCGGTATTGTTAAAGATTGCGAACGCTCTTTCCTCGGTGACGGGAAGATGCCCTTGTGGCTGGCGCGTTTTAGCGCGTACAGCTACCGCGTCCCCTTCTCATCCATCCGGCCGTCGCCATCAATCTCTCCAGACCTCCATCGTTCAATCAGCGAGCGAAAAAGAAGCACCTGCCCCCAATTCAGTCACCGGCATCGGAACCTGCAATCAGCATGTGACACAGGACTGCATCATCGCCCGTGCCGTGAAGATGCATGCTGCCCCGCGTCTTGGCGGCCTCATGGCTGCTACCCTCCTGAGCGCGATGGGATCGTTTGCATCGCAGCTTCGTTTGCACTCTTTTGCTGACCTATATGTTTCTTGGCTTCTGATCCCTTACCGCGATGGATACCCAGGATCTGGACAGTGGATCCGTCGACCCGGTTGAGACATCTACGACGAGTTTGGACTCTATTGTCCCTGCGACTTCAGCTTCCGAAGACGAATTTGATGAAGAAAGCCACGACCTTTGTGGAACGAGATACTTGTTCACTTCGATGGAAAGGTGGGCTGAAGAGATGGATAGCTGGGGCATCAGGGGGATAGCGAGAACGATCTCAAGCCTTCAACTCGGGGCAGCTGCTGCTTGCCAAAGTTGCAAAATTGTACTCGACGCTCTCATATCGTACAGCAATGGACAGTTTCCAATCGAAAACATCAAAGCGATCAGAGTAATATCAGGGGACCATCCAATAACAATCTCTTACCAGCCAGCTTCAGACGCGAATGGCGATTCTAGCCGGTCAAGCGCAGATCTTGAGCTGTTTCGTTTAAAATGTAAGTCTCGTATGATATTGGCTATCGCGTTTCGATTGATAGTAAGAAAACCAAGGGTATCCTGTTGCCCTGTACATCTAAGGGTCAAGAGCGCGGAGTGAGTTTGCAATGTCTGACATGCATGCAGGCCAAGAAGTTATCACGCACAATGTCACGCAGGCGGAATTACCCGTACCTATGAGAGCACTTCCCTCGGAAGACACATCTTCAGACCTAGCTCTTCAGACACTGTACAATTGGATCCAAACCTGTGTTGAGCATCATGGAGCCTGCGGTGGACGCAAGATCGTCCAACTTCCGAAACGCATATTTGAAATAGATGGCAAGCATGTGTATCTTCGAGAACGCTTCAGTACGCCAGCGATATACGCCTGTCTGAGCCATTGCTGGGGCTCATCAGGTCCTACAATCAGACTGGATAAGACAACGCACAGTCGCCTAATAGATGGCATAGTAATTGACCAGCTACCGAAAACCTTTTCAGAAGCGATTCACTTGTGCGCACGGCTTGGCATACGCTTCATCTGGATCGATGCCTGCTGTAAGCTACTCCCTTCCGGAGTTGTAGTTTAGGTCACTAAAACTCATGCATTTAGGTATTATGCAAGATGATAAAAATGACTGGGAGGAAGCAGCCGCAACGATGGCAAATATCTATCAACAAGCTCATCTTACCATTGCAGCTACATCGGCTAGCAACAGCGACTTTGGACTATTCGCACCAGACCGCAAGAGATACAAGGCCCGGAAATTGAGAGATTGTGGGCTCTACGTAAGGGAAGAACGAGGAAAGTTCCCTCGCCCTTACATACAGAACAATCCAGATGAATTTCCTGTGTCATCGAACTTTTCTTTCGCGGACTTCCCGCTTCTGACTCGAGCTTGGGTGTATCAAGAGCGACTTTTATCGCCACGAATGATTCACTTTTGCAAAGACCAGGTGAGCCATTAGTATCCGTTTCTCTCAAGAACATTACTCTACTGCTAGCGGGACGGAATCTGTATCGTTTCAGTATGAACGTGGACGTAACCTGTAAAATCGGTTGTGGTTCGCATCCATGCAGTATCCATCAGATCTCTAATATTTCCCTCAGATGTATTGGCAATGCCCCACCATGTTCATCGCAGAAGACGGGTCGACCTACGATGAAATCTATCCACGCGATACCAAAAGCTTTACGTTTTATGGACTCATTGACAATCCAGTCGACCGCTGGCGTGAGATCGCAACCACATATTCGGGGTTGAGGCTGACGTACAGGAGCGATCGATTACCGGCAATTGCTGCCATAGTTGAACGAGAAGTACGGTTGCGAAGGCAAGACACATATATCGCTGGTATGTGGTCAAGCAGTCTGCTCACTGATCTTGTCTGGCGTACCATAGACGGTCCATATTCTGTGCTGCCGCGTTCCTCATGCTCCATTCCAACATGGGCATGGCCATCAGTACAAACCCAGATTGGCTGGGAGAGTGGACTGATGTTGCCATCTCTACGACTATGTGATTTGACCTTTACCCGCGTCGGGCCGGCTCAGATTGGCCAAGTCGCGAATGCTAGTATCACGGTGGAGGGCCACACCTGTATGGCCCGACTGACGCAAACTCACGACGAAGAACACAAACTCTATCAGCCTTCTATGGAAATATCATCTCCTTTATGCGAGAGCGTTGGAACATACAAAGGGCGACCCATGCCAGTTGACTTCGATTGGACCTCTGGTGATCGGCCTGTCACAATTGGAGACACTTTTATTGTTGTGCCGATGATTATTGGCAATGAACCCGAGAAGCGCCATTACCCCGAACTGACTCATGTTATGGGGCTGGTTCTGCGAGAAATGTCAGATGAAACTTTCGAAAGAATGGGAGTTATCTACCTTGAAGCAAAATGTGGGCCGAAAACATCCGTTGTAGAACGTGGGAGGATACTAAACGATTTCGTTGAAGCTCTACCCATTCGACGGGTCAAGATTATCTGAAGAGAAGGTAACAGGCTGCATACCTGTTTGGGTCAGCGAAATCTCCATGCTTCTCGAGCATCAACGACATCGTTCCACCTGAACCAAGGTCATGCGAGACCCTCGACACTCACCACGAACATGCCTTGTCTGGTCATTACGCGCATCCGAAAGCGCGCAAATATCCTCACCTGTAGTCCAGAGAGGATATGGATTCTGACTGCTACCAATGGACCTAGTTTTTCCATGGAAAGACCGCATCTCCAGCACTCGTTATCGCTATACGCCGCCTTACTCCTCAGATCCAGTATCGGAACCTATGAAGAGCCTTTATTTCCTCAGAAGTTATTCTTACCAGATGGCTGCAAAGTGGCGCGACCTTTAGGTATGGTACCCTCTCACTCATCTTGCAGCTAGAAGCTAAGAACCCAAAATGGTAGCTTGGGTGAAGCGCATCACTCACCTTCACTTTCAGTACATCACTATACGCGACGTTCGCATATCTTGCGCACTCGATCAATCTGATGACGGTGTCCAATTTCTGGGATATTATGCCTTCACCTCGCTGAGTCATCGTCTGCTCTTTGGGTAGACTGCGCGACCTGTTGCTACTACTACCGCCGCCGGCGCGACTTTTCCCCGCCCGACGCGTTTGCTCAATACTTTTCAATATTCAGAAGATTTTTGCGAACGTCCACGCTACACCATAAGGCAGTCGCAACCATGGAAGCCACCGCAGGTCCGCCTTTGGACATGGAGTGAGTTAGCGCGATTATTTCTTGTGAGCTCACTGACAAAGTAATGCAGACCAGAACCGATGTCGCTCGAACAACTGGAGCAAATCCTGAACAAAAACGAAATCATCGCGCCCTCAACGATCGATGCCATTGAGTACCACGCGGCGGAACTTGGCCACCGGGTCACGGACATCTACAAGACCTTGAACATGATTGTGCTTCGCCACGAATCCTTGATAAGAAAGAGATGGATCAAGATGTCACGCAGCAAACGCCGTAGCGTACTACTCGCTGTCTCGCCAGACATATCCCATGATCATCTCTCTCAAGCAGTGTTCGGCGCGTTTCCTTATAGTGAGTCTATATACTCCGGAGAATTTGTTTGTCTCATTTGTTGATGAGATACAGTCAACCTTAAGTGTCTTACACAGAGTAAACCTTTGCTTGCCTTCATCCATGCAAGAGGTCGCAAATCGCCTTGGAACTTCGCATCTATCGAGGAAGAATTTCTCCTACTTGCTAAAACAACTCCCTGTAACGATCTTGATTTTTGCAATGGAACTGCTGTTATGTTCTCCCGAGACGCCGATCCCGCAACCTATGGTAAGCTCGTTCGCGATCGAATCCCTGGACAAAACTTCCGTGCTACCGAGGAGTCTTTCGAGATCTGTGCAAGATCGAGTATCCGGATACTGCAGATGCAGGAATACATACTCGAATTTCTGCTTCGATGCAGTACAGCGATCTTGCATGAAATCTCATGGGATCAGTTGTTCGACTACGCTATCCAGGACGAGCCTCCACCCGTAGATTTGCTCGAAGACGACGAAGTTGGTCATGCAACTTTCTCGAACGTCCTCATGTCTGCTCCCTACTATGGTTGGGACTCTCTCAACTTTGTAAGGCTTCGAGGCTACGTCAGTGCCATCTTGGATACTCAGAAAGAACACATCCGAGCAATGAGGGAGGACCCAGGTTACTTTGCGGATACCCTCTTGGAATTTGAACAGCATGCACCCCACAAAGATTCTAGCGCTACCCTCCAACCTTATCAACGGGACGGCATCGATGCATACCGGAGCAAATGCATAATGTACATTATCGACGAGGCAAATTGTATGCTTTCATATTGGTCTGAGATTGACCGTCGGTTTGCTCAGCTTCCCGATATTTTGACCAGCGATATGAGTCTTCATGATCACGTTCATGCAGTCTCAGAGGCTCGGCTAGCAGTCAAAAGTACGAAGAACGTAGTCGCAACGAAGCTCAAAATTGTCACGTTCAATGCGCCAAATATCCGCAAATTCTTTCACCCCAGAACTGATACCAAAACGGGAAGGTCATGGCATGAGCCGAAGAAAGCCCTCGGTCACGTTCAGCAAGCGCTGTTCGACGCACTGGAAGGAATCAGTGGCTTGACGGATCTGGCACCTGTTGCTCTGGCACTGGAACGATTGGACAATCTGCTTCAAACAAGTTCTGAAGCTGGCAAGATGATGTCTAGTAGAATGTTGAACCTGGTTACGGATATGTCCGTTCTCTTGGAATGTCTTCGCCAGTTTTCGTTATGGGAACGATCACCGAAAGTCGTAGCAAGTCTCTGCCACCACAAGTGTACGCGTACATTGACTCTGGATACAGTCGCAGAGTTTAGCGAATGGCACATGAAATTACTGGACTTCACTATTCCGACGGATTACGTACAGCCTTTCAGAGAGAGATTGAACTATCCAATCCATAAGCGAAGGACGCGCGAGAACGTCGAAACCCTGCGACAAGCCGAGGCCAACCTGGATCGATTCTGGGCTACGATTGACAGCTTGTTCGAAGATAGGACTGGGGTCAGACAGCATCCACTCATTTGGGAGTGCCTACAAGAAGGTGGGGCTCTTTACCGGACTCCTCCTTGGGTCGATCCAGTCGCCATCAAGCTCACACCGAAGGAGAAGCCTGAGTATGTGTACCAGCCGCTCTCTCGCATGGTACACAACAAGACACTGGAGATCACGGGCGCATTTGATCGCATGGTCATCGAGGAGAAGACAAAGGCCAAGACCCGCGGTGATACTGTTACCGCCGACCATGACCTGGCCGCACTGCCACCCGATAGCAACGCCACTGCCACCCCACAGCCAACCATTCTTGTCGACCAGCGCGCACATAAGGTCTTCAAGACACTCTTTCATACACCCACTTCCGAGACTGGCGACTTACCCAAGGGCGTCAAGTGGGTCGAGTTCAAGCGAGCTATGGCACGCGTCGGGTTCTCAGTTGAGAAACTCCAGGGCTCAGCCTGGCAGTTTGCACCTGGAGACGCATTAGATGCTGATCGAAACATACAGTTTCACGAGCCGCATCCCGACAGCGACATTCCGTACATCATGGCCAAGCGCTTTGGACGGCGACTAGCGCGTGTGTATGGCTGGAGTGGAGACACATTCAAGCTGGGATAAACTTCAGCCAGGAAAGCAGAGTGAACCTGGGGGTACGCGGAGGATGTGGAATAGTGTGATGTGATACTTGACTACTAGGTATCGTTTGACATGTGGTTTGCGCCCACCCACAATTTCTTGGCGTTTTGTCTTGCAGCGAAGATGACATGGCAAGAATTGTTGCGAACACCTTCGGGTACACTTCTGCATATTTTGTAGCTGATGCACATACTACCGATAATCTTGTCGCATGCCTACAGTGTTTTGCAATAGCGTTATAAGTTGTGATTCGCTACACTCCAAATTGACAGTAACTTGGTGTCAACTCCTCTCTTCTCGTAATTCACCCATAATCAACTATTCCTGTCCCTGTGACACCGTCCAGTACGAAAACTGTGAGCGCTGTTATGGTAGCTCTCAACCAAAGTACCAGCAACTTTCCGGAAACATGCCGATCTCATGTGCGCCCATCGCCATAGTCTCCAACCAAAGCTCATCGACATTCTGCTTCAGCTGTATTCTCACTGAACAGCCGTAGACTACGGATATGTCGAAGTGGAGCTTGACCAAGCTTGCTCGAATCGAGAACGTATCTCGCCGCCCAAAGAAAGAGCTTGGTCGCGGACGCCGACCTGTCAACGCCGAAGAAGCATTGCAAAGGTCGACGGTGTAAGGCACACTGCAGACTGTTCCAATCGCGCATGGAAGTAGGTGATACTCTAGCTGAGAGCAGGTGCAGCGCGCGCCAATGCTCACCGGTCGAAGAGCCTTCTATACGTGACTGCCGCAAGTTCCAAGCCGTATCCCTCCCATCAATCAATCTCCATCGTTCACTCGACCATAGCATGTCTATCGCGCTATCATCCCAATCTCCCAGGATACATCGCGTCTATAGACACGACGCTGCATTTAGCGCTTTTGACTTCATGTCCCTTCGCCATAGTCAGCGCGACTGGTGAGACAAAAGATGTAGCCTCTCCTGATAAGCGCCATTGAAGTGGCACATTGCGCTGCGAGCTCTCTACTTCTGACACCTGACTAGATGTTGGCTTTCGGACGTTGGTCTGGCGTTCCAAATCCGCCGGGGGCGTTGCGGCCGAGCGGCTAGAATGCGCACGATCTTGGATGACGCGCACGATTTGGCTGAGTACTGCGAACTCAATCTTGAGCTTGAAGCTGTAAACAAGTGATTTGAAGGTCGTTTGTATCATGTAGAGATTCAAGAACTCCGTCGTAAGCAACGCGATATCCAGTATTAGCAGCAGTATGCTCATTGCGACGAGCTGCCACATCCACTTCCTGGCCTTTCCGTTGAGGATGACGCGCATTAGCTTGCGGGTTTCCCATAAGTAGATGCAGGATATCGAGATCTCTTGGATGGTGAAGAGTGTCATTTGTATTTTCTCCATGACCATGTAACCGCGGAGGTATCGTTCAGGGTGATTGGTGAATAATCGTAGATTCAGGACTACGGTCGGCACGCAAAGGCATACTGCTGAAACAACGATGACCCAAAAGATGAATTGTAGAAGCCTGAGGTTCGGCGATATCAGATGTAGGCGAGAGTACAGAACCATGGATTGTCCGGGTACCATCAATATCCATCCGATTGTAAGTAGGGTGTTGTAAATGCGAGGATCATGCGCAACGCTGTTTTGTTTCATCCATGCTCCTGGAGACTCAGTTAGCCATCACCAATGCGAACCTAGAAGCTTCTGCCTACCTGTCGCATACGGCACAATGCTGAGCGTGTTAACTATCAAACTCCAGAAGTATAGACCAGTGTACCGTCTGAATACGACGAAGATGAGGATGATGAGCTCAATCGAGTTGTACCACGCGATGGCTGTGAATGCTGTCATTGCCCGAGGAAGAACGCGATTGGTGCCGAATACGTCGAAGTTGGCGCCGGTGATGCCGTTGGCATTGGTGACATTCACCATCTTGTCGAGATTGCTATGTAGCTGGACTTGAAGCTTTGATTGAGTGTTCCACATACTACATTATACTTCGTAGATGATAAGCCCCGAAATCTCCATTGACCGCACGGAGTGTGTGATATTGAAGCCACCGGCGCAATGTAAGCATGTGTAAGCATGGTTGGATCTGGTCTAGCGTCACCGCATACCGCTATTTTTGTGTTACGTGTTGGCCATGTATGGCTGCCAACACCAGATGATCAGATAAGGCGCGAGAATCGATACCGTGTATCGGAGTACTAGATCGTGAAGATACCGTGCGGTGCTGGCTGACACATCGACGTGGCGGCTGCGTGGAGATGGAAACGAGCACCTGCCAGCCTATGCGGCAGCCCGAAACGCTATGTTTAGCCTCTCAACACCCTTCTACACAGGAAGTCCGACTCCAAAGCTAGACGTTAGACAAATCGTTTGAATCCCATACTTCAGAGGTTGTAGGCTTTACGAAGCTATACTGATGATGCTGCAGTGAAGCAGTCACGACGCGATGGCCAAAGAGTCTGCGAAAATTGGCGAACAGCATGAGTGTCTGCATATGGAAGCGCGCTTGGTTGTTTATTTGCGTTGTAGGTCGACGTGCATCGCGATGGATGGTGGGATGAGGGTTGCGTCGCGTCGCGCGTTAGGGGCAGACATGTGATTACTCAGATATGACGTAATGTTCGATCCCCAGCCAAACTCCAACGCGTCTCTCCAGCCACCCCATCTCAAACACCTTTCACGCGACGACGCCATCCCCAGATCCTACAACTCGTTGCCGCTAATTCCATCCTGAGCACGTCCGAATAATCGAGTTGCGTAAGCGAAGTGACAATGGGCCGCACGCGTCGTCTCGTAGCACGCTTTGTCCGGCAGCGGGAGAGGAAGGGCATGATGCCGATGGATCACTGTTGAGAGTCTAAGCCCAGATATCTGACTGGAAGTGCTTAAAATCCTAGCTGTCCGGTCGCAATTATCCCTAGGCTACCTATACGCAGGCTTGTGAGCGGAGAAGTTTCTAACTGTCCTGTTCATCTTTACATATCACCAGTCTCATTCCATTTCATCTGCGGATCGTGTCTTCAGAGTCTATCACCCCTCCTTTCGTATTCCAGAGTGTCGGTAATCAGGCCAAGAATAGTAGCATATTCTCTACCATCCTATGAGCTACAAATCGGCGTCGTCACTATCTCTACTACAAGGTTATCCTTCGGTCACCTCAGGGCTGCCTAGAAGGGGCAAAGACGCGATCCTCGAGCGCTGTTTCGCCTGTAAGGTGTGCGGTGTATCCCAAGGCTTGACGTCAGAAACATGTGTCTGTATCTTTCCCTTCCTCTTTCACTTTCTTGAAGCTACCGCTTTTATGGCCGCTTGTGTATGGTGACTTGCTATTGTCGATGACAAGTCATAGCTTCGTGTCTCGCAGTTCTTGAAATTTTTACGAGCGCTGTCTCTGATTGGACGTTGCTGGATCTTTATGCCTGGAATATCCTATTTGGGTAGATCACGTTCGCACGTTTTGCTATTATGACACATTCACCTGGACTCAGTCACGCATGGATATTACTGGCTCAATGAAAGTCGGTATTCAGTCGCTGCAGTCCTACAGATCCCTGTCGCACGCGATATCTTGGCCAAAGCGTCGCTCTCACGACCTTTCTAGTCACACTACTCCGCTCCGTCATATCACACCGCGAGTCTGACCCAGCTTCTTGCAATACTACTCTCAATTCCTCTGCCAGATACCTCTTCTTCCTTTGACCTGTATCATCCTACAATGGCTACCACAAAGTCCGGCCCCGTCTTCACCCCCGAAGGCTCCTTGTCCCCTCAGTTGGTTGAGTATCTGGAGGCTATGGAGGAACGCATCGTTTCTCGCCTACTCGCCGCGCTCCGCCCGATGTATGAGGCTGGCGCGCTGGAACGGACGCTCACTAAGATGGTACCGGTCGTCGTTGCTTCTGTCCAGGACGCAATGAGCGCCGCGCAACCACCGACGGACAACAACACCGTGAGAATTGCACCGTTTGATGTGCGATCACTAGACTAACGCGAAATAGACCTCCACGCAGACTCCTCGTGAGTCCCTTGGCAAGCAGCCACGTTCCCGCTCTGCCGCTATCACACCGCGACACTCCAAGCAGTACAAGGACGTCACCCAGAACCCAAAGTGCACGTTCGAAGAACTGTGTACCGCCTTCAAAGTTTTGAAGCCTCACCAAACCTTTGACGAGTACTATCTGGACGTCGCGAGCAAGAAGCCGCTTCCGTCACTTTCGAAAACTGAAGAGCACATACTTCTCCATGCACCCCGCGTCGTATCCGTTCTCGATTACGCCAGTAATATTCCTCTACCCGACATCACCAGCGACGAGGAATTCTCCGACGATTCGTCTGACAATTCGTCCGACGATGTGTCTCTATTCTCGTCGGTCAGCAGCTGTAGCACATTCACCACAGAGGCGCCAATGTCTCCTGAGTTTGACCAAGCCATTGAAAGAGTAGAAGACTCCACCGAACTACACGACGTTGTCGGTGACGACAAGAGCACTCCTGCTGAAGTCAAAGCGCCTATTGATGCAGTCTCGGCAGAGCCATCAACCACTATCGAGCCTACAAGGGCCCCCCAGAGTAACGACGGCGCGACAGATCCGCCCGTTACTGAATACAACAACGAGGACGGCAGCGATAACAATGGCACCGTCCACGTTGCCGCCGCCGGTGTACGTGAGAACCAGCCCAACACTCATCAACAGACACACTGGACAGATACCACGGACCGTGATGTCAGTGCTAGTGAGCTGTCAATCGTCTTTGGAGCAGCATCGCAAACCGAAGCGATGGAAGTCTGCATCCCAGAACCTACTCATTCTCGTCCGGTCGACTCTCAGAACATGCGGCCAGAGTTCAGCCAGATCATGGACGGAATAGAGTCACCACGAGCTCCTCGCGATACTTCCGGTACTGAACAGGACGGTATGGATGACGTTCAAGTCACCAGCCGCGTAGATACCGAGGAGCAGAACATGGTTGACGCGCCCCCGCCTGAGAGCACTACTGAATCACGAGCGAGATCCAGGGTCCAGGCAAACACAAGCAATCATTGGTCGAATGGCATGGTCAATTACCTGCTAGAACTAATTCCTGATCTTCACCACGTTCTCAAAAAAGCACTACCACAGATGGTGCAGGAGAAGGAGAAGAGCCGAATTCGGGACGAGATATTCGACTATATCGGCAAAGCAGAGTCTGCGAGAGGGCTGGCCAATGACCTCGACTTCGCCATGAAGAACAGTCTGATGACTAATGCAGAATACCACAGGGTGAAAGAGTATGCACAAAAGGCTGCTAAGAGCAAGCATATTGGCTCCTCTCAGACTGCTGCCAATAGTACCGCGCAGTCCACTAGTCTCCCCGCCCCTCCCGAGACTTCGATCAAAGACCAGTTCATCGGACTACTGATCGAAGCACGCAGAAAGATGATGAACAAGAACGAGCAGAACAAACTCAATTCTGCCTCAGACATGTTTGAAGGCCAGTTCAACATCTCATTCGAGAAATCATCAGACATCGAAGTCATGATGGATTATCTCACCAAACAATCCCGGTTCCAAGCTTGCGATAGCAATGGAGAGCCGATGATAGACGTCGAAAAGACCGTCGAAATTATACGAGCTCGCGTCGAAGACGTGAGTCCCCTTGGAAGCGAAGAGCTTGTCTGGAGGTGTATGGAAGCTTTGGCCGCTCAGGACCTGAAGGCTGAGAATGAAGCCCTCTCTGATAAGATCAGCTGCGCTATTCGCCAGGGGCATCTTCAGGTACTCTTCGAACGTATCGCAGAAAGGGATTTTGGGTTGTACACCGCAAAGAACATTCAAGGTGGCCTGACCTGGGACGAGATGAAGGACCTTGCGAAGAAGGAGGAGCGGCACTACTTTGAGCTCCACCACCGCAATCGGTCGAGGCGGAACAACCTACCAACCTACCTGGAACATATGGATAATAAGAGGAAGTATTGGGGCCACAGGGACAACATGAGAAACGAGATTACTCGTCGAAGGGCCGCTCAGAACCAGGCTATAGGCCAACCCCCTGCCACAGATCCCGTTGGTGGGGTAGACACAACGGTTCCCTTTAAGGGAAAGCGCAGCATTGCTGACATCCCGCACGATGACAATGCGCAAGTCCAGAAGCGGTTGCGAGAAGAGCCCGCTGAGCCTACTGAAGAGCAGGAGCGTGCTGAGATGAGGAAGAGGAGTGCACGAGGGGCCGCTGACTCTGAGAGCAGCGAGCGCGTAAAACGGAGTCGTGATTGAGTTCTTGGGATCAAGGCGGTATCTTTGGACGAGTGTCTTTTGTTTTAGTCAGCGTTTTTGTTTTCTGGTTCTTTACGCGGAGTTCACTGTGTTAGGAGGTGTCTTCGGGCGAGGAGCTCCTTTCCTAGTCAGCTTTATTCTCTTGCTTCTTATGTGCTTCGTATAGCAAGCACACACATGTCATCATAGTTGTTACTTCCCGTGGAGCATTCTCCCGAGCAGACACTGTGCTGGATGAACGTTCGGTTAGAGTTACGCCAGCGAAAGGAAAAGTGTACATTGCCACAACGATGATGTATTGTGATGCATAACGAAAGCTACCCTGTCTTCTAATCCTCCTTATGAGTCCCACTACACTGCAGACATTGTCCAGATGCTTTTGGTATATGCAATGTTTTCTAGTAATACCTCACCTCTCGCCCCTAACTACTCATTGCAGCGAATCGTCACCTGCTTCAGTCCCATTGTCATCTCCATCCGCTCCCGCAAAACCTTGTTCAATTCCAAATCGCATGTGATCGTCGGTTGCATCGTATGCTACCGTGTCCGGAGTCTTCGCGCCTAGCCAAAAACCTCTAACGTGGCAAAAGATGAGCCCACACCTTGTGCGTGGATCAGCTAGCTCTTTGCTAGGGACAGTTTGTGGATTGTTGATCTGCGCTTCGTGAT